AATTTTAATAGAAGCTCTGCTTCTGCTGACGAAGTTAAAGATAGTTGGTCTAAAGAGAACAACAAGCGAGTTTTCAACACACTCACTACCGAAGTTTAAAGATACCTGCAAACCGAAACCCTACACCAAACTCCACTCTTGGACTTTTCGAAATTTTCAATCTGCTTTTGGTATAGTCTTGGTTCAAGTGATCATTAGAAAGAGTTGGATATCAAAATAGTTATTTTATTTAATCAAAGCAAATTAAAACAGTTATTTTATTCAATTAAAGCAAATCAAAAACTAATACTTGTGAAAGTATTGTTAAACTTTTATATATACAGTATAAAAGTTAATTTATTGTAATTAATTTATGTTATTTTTTTAAATCTGCTTCATCAACTGAGCTACTTATTGAAAGAAAGCAATCTATATAACTTTGAATTAATAGCTTCTATCTAGTTGCTACCAGAGTAGCAAAATGTACCTATTGGTTTATAATTGGGGTATAGGAGCACCAGTTCAACATAATAGCTATATAATAATTATTATTAATGATAGCTATTGCAAGTACTTTATTTTGATTCGATAGATGTTGATTCAAAAAAAGGTAAGGTTAATTTGTAATGAGAAAAGATACAATAGTCTTTGATAGATATTTATTATAATATTTCCTTGTACATTATTACGTAAGCACAACAATCCCGAATTAAAACTGTTAGCCAACCATGACTTGTAAATCATAATTGTACGATGACATCGATATTGGATCATGCGGTACATGTTAGCCAATCATTCATTCCGACAGAAAAGATTTCATGATATTTATCGTTGCCGGCTTATATATTTATTATTATAAAAACCGATTACAGCTGTTCTCATAAATTTTGAAACATCTGGTAAAAAATTGACCGAATGATTATTTGGCCGATTCGATTTCGGCATAATGTTTATTATTTACGTAGATAGGTGCATACGTACATACGTACATTTTAAATTGATTACTAACGCTAATCGATTGGAAATAAAACACATGAAATTATAAAATACTACAAGGCTTTAAGCGACTTCTATTTTTACATCTTTGATTGTAATTCATAAAAATACCAGTCGGGCTTTCTTCCTTCCATTAAAGCCTTAAGATATTTTATATCATTCAAGTTTAGTGGACGTAGTTTTCTTATGAGTGGCATATCTTTGAAATTGAAGATCTGTTAACATATAAGTATTTAGCAATTGTCTGAACTAATAACTCTTCTAAATTTTTTTCGACTATTTTTCAGCGAATGTGCCTCGAAAAAATATTATATTTAACGTGTTATATCGATATTGGTTATCTGGTTATTATCAATTAAAATTGTCACTGCTGCACCGTAAATATGTTTCATGTGAGTTTTAATTTGCAAATCGATTAATAATCAATTTAAAACGTATATACGTAGTTATGTACGTAACTGTTAAACTATTTACGTAAATAATAAACGTTACACTGATCATGCCGAAATCAATAACTTATCGAATCGGCCAAATAATCATTCGGACAATTTTTTTACCAGATATTCCAAAGTTTATGAGAACAGCTGTAATAAATGGTCCTACAATAAAGTATTCGGATATCCGTGTTACCGATTTGGATCCCTACAGGGAATCCTGATCGGCTAGGTCGAAATCACAAAATTTTACTGACGAAATCATAGCCGTTTATTAAGTAAAAATACCTTGCCAATGATTTTGCTATAGACTGTGCTATTGCCAAATGCCGGCCTAGCTTCAATGCCTTATGACCCGAAATTTTCTGTATACAGTAAGATAAATAGATATTTAATAAAGCAGTATATATCACATAGCAGTATAGATTTAGACAGGCATACGAAAATTATTGTGGGGAATGATGCTGAAATTGGTTGATACTAAAATTTGGGGCTTTTATTTGAAAAATATGAACACTACTAAAATCTATATATAAGTTTTAATTATTATTTATAATCCTAAATCCTAACTCAACTATAAAAAAAGACAAAAAATATCTCAAAAATTTTTTTAATTTTCATATTAATATAGGCCCAGATTTAGCTTCAACCAATTTCAGTTTCAAATACTACTACAAGTATATTAAATTTTGATTATGTAGATAATTAATATAGATTTATAAAATTTGATTTTTATAAATAACTTTGGGAAATTGTTAAATTGGTTGTTAATCGATTGACACCTAGAAATGGTAATCGATAAGCAGCACCCCTGCCAATCACCAGAAATATAAGTACGTAACAATCGATTCGCAACAAGTTTATCGATTTAGGATTTATATCCAAACAAGTGAGGTTCGACCTGAATTACTTTATGGAAAATTTGTTTGTCAAGAATGTAAAGTCGAAGTTGAGAATGTTGAACAGTAATTTAGTATAAGATTTATTTTTTTGCTGTTACAAGATTTTTTAAATAGGTTCTTTGCATTCATGAATATTTCTTTATAAAGCCGATTCATGGGTACTTATAATTGAGGAATCCAGATTTAGAGATTGGCAAAGAGTTCAGATTCAGGAAACTCCCAATGAAATACTTACAGGAAGCATGCCTAGAACATGAGTTATTATTTGAACTAAATTTGTCATCTAAATCATTTAAATCTGTAATTATCGCAACTTTACCTCTAATCATTAAATAATATAAAAGTCTTGAAGTTATACTTCATCATGAAATAGTTGAAGGTGCAAAACATAGAAACAAATGCATTTTTATGGGTACACCTCTTGTTATTCCAAATATCTATTAATTGAGAGTTATGGATACTTTACAGAAATTTGTATTTTTGCTGAATATGTTTTTAATATAATTAAAATCTTTTTATTATATTTTTAAATTAAAAATATAATATAAATATTATAAAAATAAAAAATATATTAAAAAATATTGTAAGAATATTTTTATCTTAATAATATCTAAGTTGTTAAAATATATTTAAAATAGTTTAAAATAATTTTTTAAAAAAATTTAATATAATTATTAGGAATTTGCTAATTTCTATCACAGGTAATCATAACTTGTATCATTTATATTTCAAAATTCTGCTTATAAAACCCCTTTTGAAGCTCTAACAAAAAAATTCCTTGCAAAATTTTACTATAAGCAATACCTTGCTTTATCACAAACCTTACTCTAACCCTAACTATAAAAAAATTACTTATTGCTTTAAAGAAAATTATTTTGTTGTTTTTGTTACATATTGAAGATCACAGGTAATGATCACCTGTGGTGGAAATTAGATATTTTCTAATTATTATATAATAAATAGTGTTTAAAAATATAAATCAGATCGGATTCAGATTTTAATCTAATCTCAACCGTCAGATTAGTTTTGGCCTAAAAAATTTGGATTGGGCCCGGATTAAACAGGATTGGGCCTAATTTAAAATTAGGGTACAAAATTTAGATCAATTACATCATAAGGGCCCATCTGGCAAATTTTTAAAAAATATAAAAATCCCAAAAAATTATCCAAAAATACCCATTAAATTATCCAGAAATGTTCTTTAGTTTTGGCTAATTTACTGGTTTTTTTGAATAATTCTATGGGGTTTTTGTAAAATTATGCATCTGATTCACCTTCTGTTTTTCATCGCTATTCCTATTTATCAAAGTTTAGACAAATCTAAAGTCAAATATATATATATGGGTAAGTGTTAAACAAATTCGCAAATACTTATGAAGCTTCTCCTATTTGAAATTTAAGTGATTTAATATCTGTTTCTTATTCAGAAATTTTATTAGACATAATATATAGTAATTCTTCAATCTTAATAATATGATCAAGTTGCTGCTGTTGCAAAGCAACGATCGATTCAAATGACACAAGACTGGCTATTTTATTAGATTGGCCTTCAACAGTGGTAGTGAGAGTAGCATTTATCAACATGAGTGTTAAAACAGCATAAAAAGTATTTATTGCGATTTGCAAAATTCTGGATCCCATTGATTGATTATCATCAAACAATCGCATATTAATAATAATGTAATTGTTATTAATATGCAATTGTGATTGTTAGATGATGATCAATCAATGGGATCCAGAATTTTGCAAATCGCAATAATAATTTCATACCAGTATTAAAACCAAATATGAAGATTATAAATAACATACTTTGTGTTGTATTTTAGGATCTGAAGATAATAATACTAATTCTCTCAGCTCTTCTTGGTCTTCATCCTGCTCTTCAACAGGATTTTCCTCAACCTTATTAACAGGTTCATCATTATTGTCACTGCTATCATCATAATATTTATCTTCTGTTTCGTAGTCTTCATAAGTTGTAACACTACGAGGATTAGATTGAATATTCATCACATCTATGATTGAATTTGCAGAAACTCGAGGCCTACATGATTTTGTAGTAAGCTAATAATTGGAATTAAATGTATCATGTTTGTTGATTGCATTAGTGATAATATGTTATCTGATGTTCAGCATCAGAATAGATGCTCAGGTAGACCTCATAGGAAGACTTTTGTATGATTGGCCATTTAAATCAATTTAATTTTACATTATTTATACAGTTTAAAGTACTTTTTAAAAAATGAAACTATGAAGAATAAACAAAAAAGAAGTATATAGAATGTTTTATTAAGATGTAGGACTTCAGTATCAAAATCATTTCTGATTTTAGAGAAGTTAGCATGATATTAATCTAATTTTATCTATCTTTAAGAAGTCGCTATTACGCTAACTTCTCTAAAACCAGAAATAATTTTGATTATTCTTAATACTGGAGTCCTACAACCTAATAAAACCTTTTATATAATTCTTTTTTGTTTATTCTTCATAGTTTTATTTTTTTTAAAAAGAGCAAATGATACGAAAGTCTTCCTATGGAGATGGATCTGGATCACTTTGATTAGATAATTCGGTTTGAGCCTCCATCTAGAGAAATGCAATATTGAACCAGGTTTTAGGAGTACTGGGAGAAGACCTTGTGTTGTATCTGGAATTCAATTGGTATTAAATGTTATATAAAAATATGTCACTCTGATAGTGAGAAGAATTATCAAATTTGACAAATCTTTGCTCCTTACTCTTGATGGTCGATAAGTAGTCCATTTTATTTGTGCTAAAAGATGAATTTTCATAGTTATACTGATAACTTATATCATCATTTGATTTCAACATTGACCTTTTAGTATTCGTACTGTGACTGGGTCACTTCCTCCTGAATAAGCATAATTGAGAGGTGCATCAGAACTAGAGCTAAAAAGAGCTTTTCGAGAAGATTCATCAGAGTTTGTATTTTGTTTATAGCGGAAATTTTCTGATTCATTATATAACATTGTGGTGTTGACCCTAGGTTGCTGTGCAGCATTGTTGTGATTGGATTACTACTATGAGATACTTTATCTGTACAGGTTGTTCTCAAGCACCTCCATTTATGATCGATAAAGTGATCTGATTGGCTGAAAAAATAAATCATGTTTAATTATTTCAGTTAAAAAAACCGTAGTTAACAACTATCTTTTTTTTTATAGAGTTACTCCGATTGGCTGAAATTTAAAATCTATATTTCGCACAATGAATTTTTGGCAAAATTGTTACAGAAATCACTTTTCAATTAATTTTGATTAATCAAATGATTGAGCAGCATCTCAATCACTTGCAAATTACATCGAGGGAGCTGCTTGAGAACAACAATAGAATCATTATTCTGACCTTGTTTCTGCGGAATTTGAATATTATTAAAATCAGAAATAATCATATTGGCAGAAACTTTTGCACGTGCTTTTTTGGGCAGTGTCTTTTTCTGTATTTCTGTACTGATTAGCATAATCTGAATAACTACCTGTCATATTGCCAATACTTGAACTAATAATTGAGTCAATTCCTGCTTTAGGTCTGTTAATAGTATTATGTTGCTTAACTCTAATTATTGAGGAATTAGAAGATTCAGCTTTGTCTGAGCTAAAACCAGTGTTATCACTCTGGTTGGGTGATTAATGGCTTCAGTATTTAAAGCTTTCAATGAATTGGTAAAAGAATGAGAATTAATCATATGTTCCTTGTCTGCTTTTGGTCGAGGACTATTTGCCGAACCATCTTTTGAATCTAAATTCATTTTTAGAAAGGTCAAATTGGTTAACACAATTCCTATCATTTAGGTTCTGTACATTGAATACACAATTGAAAAACAATCAATAAAGATTCAATTTAAAGTTTCAAATAAAATACA